CAGCAGCAGCCAACTATCTTTTCCTTCTTCAAGGCTAAACCAAGTGAGAAGGAAAAGACCCCCGTAGCCAGCAGCAGCAGCAACAGCAGCAGCAACAGCAACAGCAGCAACTGCAGCAGCAGCAGCAGCAGCAACTGTAAGAAAGAGGTGGTGATTCTCTCTGAAGACGAGGAAGACACCACAGCAGCAGCAGCATCACAACCACCACCATCACCACCCCCACCATCAGCAGCAGCAGCACCACCAGCACCAGCAGCAGCAGCAGCAGCAGCAGCAGCAGCAGCAGCAGCAGCAGCAGCAGTACCTCGTAGTGGCTACGGTGTATGGGTGAGCGAAGTGATGTTACAACAAACACAAGTCAAGACTGCCATCAATTATTATTTATTATGGTAAATTTATTTTTTTTTTTTTTTTTTGTCTCCTTTTTTGTCTCCTTTTTGTCTCCTTTTTTGTCTCCTTTTTGTCTCCTTATTGTCTCCTTTATTGTCTCCTTTTTTTTACCTCTTTTTTGTCTCCTTTTTTGTCTCCTTTTTGTCTCCTTTTTGTCTACTTACTGTTTCCTTTTATTGTGTACTTATTGTCCTCTTTTTTTTTGTCTCTTTTTTGTCTCCTTTTTTGTCTCCTTTTTGTTTCTTTTTTTGTCTCCTTTTATTGTCTCCTTATTCTCTCCCTATTGTCTCCTTACTGTCTCCTTTTTTTGTCTCTTTTTTGTCTCTTTTTTGTCTCTTTTTTTGTCTCCTTTTTGTCTCCCTTTTTGTCTCCTTTTTGTCTCCTTTTTTTTGTCTCCTTTTTGTCTCTTTTTATAAATAAATAGATAAAATAAACAAATAAAATAAATAAAAATAAATAAATTAATTAAATAAATAAAATAAATAAATAAAATAAATAAATAAATAAATAAATAAATAATGTGTCTCCTTTTTTTTTTATGTATACAAGGATGAATAGATGGCCAAGTGTCTCCTCTCTTGCTGCTGCATCTATACAAGATGTTTATCAAGTATGGGCAGGACTTGGATACTATAGGAGGTATGCTGCTGCTGCTGCTGCTGCTGCTGCTGCTGCTGCTGCTGCTGCTGCTGCTGCTGCTGCTGCTGTTGCTGTTGGTGCTGATGCTGCTGCTGCTGTTGCTGCTGCTGCTGATTTTGTTGCTGCTGCTGCTGTAGGAAGCGGCATCTGGGAAGCACTTATGCATTTCCTGACCCTGTGTCTGTCCTGCTGCTGTTGCTGCTGTTGTTGCTGCTGTTGCTGCTGTTGTTGCTGCTGTTGCTGCTGTTGTTGCTGCTGTTGCTGTTGCTGCTGCTGCTGCGCTAACAGAGCTGTGTTGCTTCTTGAGGGTGCTAAATATGTCATGGAGAAACACGGCGGAGAGGTTAGCCAATGTTGACCTGCTGCTGTTGCTGTTGCTGTTGCTGCTGCTGCTGCTGCTGCTGCTGCTGCTGCTGCTGCATGAATGCATGCATGCATGCATGCATGCATGCATACATGAATTGGTGTGTATATGCAGCTCCCTTCCTCAATAGAGGAACTACAGGCGATCCCGGGGATCGGCGGATACACCGCAGGAGCGATCGCCTCCCTAGCATTTAGCAAGAAAGCAACTGCTGTTGATGCTAATGTTGCTAGGGTTTTCTGCAGGATATTTGGTAAGGGTTTAGGGTTTAGGGTTTAGGGTTTAGGGTCTATGGGGGTAGGGGGGACTCGGGGGGAAGAAGAACGGATTAGGAGATAGGGTTTAGGGTTTAGGGTTTAGGGTTTATGCGTTTGTCTGTCCGTCCCTCTTTAGGCCTCGCGACGCCATCCGATCCACGAACCCAACAACAAGTCATCCCGTAAGGGTTTAGGGTTTAGGGTTTAGGGTTTAGGGTTTAGGGTTTATGTGTCTTAGGGTTTAGGGTTTAGGGTTTAGGGTTTATTTAGACATATGTATACCAATAAGTTGTGTTATTTATTTCTCTTATGAATGAATACTTTGTCCTATGTCATATGTCATTTAATATTTAGGGTTTAGGGTTTAGGGTTTAGGGTTTAGGGTTTAGGGTTTAGGGTTTAGGGTTTGTGCAGCCGTCTAATATATCCATTAATTCCTTCAATTTCTCCTGGGGTTTGGACAGAAGCAGCAATTGAATTAGGTGCTACACTATGTACACCTAAATCTCCTGCATGCAATGCTTGTCCAGGTATCCTGCTGCTGCTGCTGCTGCTGCTGCTGCTGCTGCTGCTGCTGCTGTTGCTGTTGTTGTTGTTGCTGTTGTTGCTGCTGTTGTTTTTGCTGTTGCTGTTGCTGTTGGTGTTGTTGCTGCTGTTGCTGCTGTTGCTTCTGGTCTAATTGTTGTTGCTGTTGCTGTTGCTGCTGCTGCTTCTGCTTGTGCTGCTGCTGCTGCTGCTGCTGCTGCAGTTCGTAAGTGGTGTATTGCAGCAGCAGAAGAAGAAGGAAGAGCAGATAGGAGACAACACTGCAGCAACTGTCGTGTCTGCTGCGAAGAGGAGACACCTGAAG